TGACAACAAACTAGAGTGGGACAAAAACACTTGATCACGAGTTCATCATACTATATATGATATACATAAAATATACATATATAAATTTTATTAGAGTAAATTCAAGACTTGGATCAACTTCCTTTTGCACGTGAATTATGGTGATTATGACACAAAAGCACAAAACATTTATTTTTTTAAAAAAAGTTTTTGTAAAACTAGAAAGTGCTACACGAGTAAATGATCAGTTTTCCAAGTAGAGCCAACTAGTCATTTTTGTCCAAGATTTTTTTCATATTCGAAGCTTAAAACTCAAAACTCATATTGGTTCTTGGCACTGAGAAATTTACAGTCGCTATTCTTTAGATGTGCATATGGTAAAAACCCCGTTTCTATGCAATAACTTGTAAACTACACATGAGATATAACATGTATTAGGCAAGTTCGATGCAACAAGCTCGATTCAGATCCCCTTGTTTTTTGCTGACGAAAAATTTCGAACTTGAAAGCTTCAAAATGAAAGTTCCAAACCCAAATCATCGCCAATGACAACACTGAAGTGTCCAAACCTTTTCCTACTTTATCAAAGATATAATCACATAATTAATTTTAGATAGTTTACTTACAAATGCTTCAATTACGTAACTCATATCTAACTCATCGTCTCAATGTTCATGTCTACTAAAATAATTAATTGTTGTATCTTTTTTTGCTAGCTTAAAAAATGAAAGTTGTTTTTTTGAAATTAGCAATGAAAACTTTTATGCTTGTATTTAATAAGGTTTTTGCTTTAGTTCTCGATGAATGGGACAACTTTGCTGTTTAAACTTGACAAAACAAATTGTTTTAATTATTTTTGGTAATAAAAAGTATATATATATATATATATATATATATACTATTTTTAGTTGCTGGATTATTTAATCAGATGACGAACCTCAACATGTGGTGTACGCTTTGACTGTTTCTTGTTGATTTAATTGAGCGTAATGCACGTGAAACGCAAAAAGTTGAAATACATGAAAAATGAGCTACATTCAATCATAAATTCGATGGAGACGTGTATGTGGAATTTTACGGAGAGGATAAAAGAAAGCGTAAACAACGCAAATCTCATTGGTTTAGGATTTAATTATGTATTTTTTCATGAGTTTTTGAAATTATTATTCACGTCAGATTTCGTCTCCAGATACATATGAGGTCAAAATTATGTGTAATTTGTTTCAAATACACTGTATTCAAGTGAATTCACATGTATCTGACCCTCTCTTGCCTCTCATTCTATGTATTTATATTTTAAAATATATCTAGTATCTCAGATGCATGTATCTAGTCGATCATGTGATTTACGTATATCAGCTGGGATACACGAATTATCTTGCTCGACTCCCTTCTATCTCGCTAAAAATGGAATTCAATTTGATTCTCTATTACCTTTACTTATATATATAGTGAATCTTTAAATACATATATATGACCTGAATCAAAGTTATTCAGTTCAAATAAATCCATTATTATATCATTACCTATGTCATCTCCGAAAAATGAAAAGATATTTTAATAAAATTTAATTTTCTACTTCAACTTTGATTTATTATTCCGACGATTTATCAAGGGCACAGGGTCCCATAATCACATGACAAATTCCAAGAGGATCATTTCAGATCACGAGCACCTAGAGTTTTGTTTTTCTGTTTTTTGCGTTTGCATGGCGTTAGCAAATTGAGTGTACATACTTCCTCTGTCTCTAATTAATTGTCCCTAATTACTTATTTTTGATAAATTAAAAAAGGATAATTTTTTTTGTATTATACCCTTAATTAATTTACTTTAAAAAGATTAAACTTCTTGAAAATTTAAATTTTTAAGTCATCCACTTTATAATTAACAAGGATAAAAAAGTAAATTTACTATGTTAATAATTGTTTTCTTAATAGATGTGTCAATTCAAAAGTGGAGAAGTAATTAGGAACGGAGGAGGAAGTATATGATATATGGCCCTTTTAACTTTTTATCCTCATCTTTCTCTGCTATAAGACAATCCCGTGGCCAGGCGTTTCTATCAGAGTATTTTATTATTATTATTATTATTATTATTGTAATTTAGCACAATATTACTATTCTGTTAAGATAAGGATTATAGTTTTTTAATTAGTAGTTCTAGGACAATTATAACTACATTGTGAAAATAAGTTCATAAATTTATTAATTTTCAACTCGTGAAAGGATAACAAAATGAACAATAAACTTGATTCAACATCAAAATAAAAGCCATTCATGATTTCTTATACTTTACACATGGTCAATCTATCGATTAAAGCGTGAATAACATAATATGAAGATTTGACATTGGATAAATTAAATCAATTAAAGCGTCGATAACATAATATGAAGATCTGACATTAGATATTAAACATTGGTATGAGTCTGTCTTTAGTACTAACTATTAATTATAATAAAATAAATTTTGGATTCAACTCAGTTCAGAAAGACAACTAACTAATGAGGTAAAAATTGTTTAAGATCACATAAACAATTCAATTGCAGTACCATCTAATCACACTCATGTTGGACTTCCAACAAGAAGGGAATGCCCCAATGCGCTTCTCAACACTTTTATTCTTTCTAACAATTTATTAGGATTTTTTAAAAAAATAATCTACTCGATGATCAGTATCCTATATTAGAACTCGGATTAATAACAATTAGCATCGAAAATTAAAGTCCCCCACTTAAATATGAACATTAAGCAAAACGTGGAGCATAAACTATAAGGAGAATCTCTTGTGTTTTGTTACCCATCTCTAAATAATATGTAAAAAAATCAGCTTTTATGAATATTCATTTTCAAGAAAGAAAAAAAGAAGAAGTATATCATATGGGTTAGATTAATTATGAATAAAGTAGGTCGAGATCCATGCTTGGTGAAATTTGAATAATGATTATTTAAGCCTCTCAATAATTCATGAGACAACTATGATACTCTGACTAAAATTTGGTAGGTGAAAAATTAGGCCATGGAAGATGGAGTCCAATAATTCTTTATACCTTCATTTCTCTGTCCCCTCCCAAAATTATAGTAATAAAATAATATTCTTCTCAATTAAAAATTATAGGCACCAAAAATGAGAAGAAAAAAAAGTATAGTTCATGACTTATATTAATTTACTGGATTCTACTTCATTGCTTCGTTGGAATTTAGACTAATCAGAAAGAATACTGGAATTATAATTGCAAGTGCTTGTTTATCATTGATTCGAGATAACTGTAGGTTTGCGTAAACTCCGGTCTCTTCAAATTCTACTTGTGAATTACACGTGATATAATGTTTATTGGGACAAACACACACAAAAAAAAACTTTTCAATTTTTAAAGTATTTGATTAATAATTATTTTTTTCTTTTTTCTGGGGTTAATTACTTCTAAATTGCAACTCAAAATGCTTGCTAAAACTTTATAATGATTAAGCAGAAGAAATTGAAGAACATCTACGTACACAAGTAGGCCCTTGATCTAGAATATAATTATTAATTATGTGGGGAAGAAAACATTTTAATTCCTCTTTTAGAATTATCTTGGTAGGTGAGTAAAATATGAATAAATTAGATAGGTAAATACAACTTAAAAAAGTTTAGCTATATATTTCCTAATATATTTTGATCATCGATCTGAATACGATGTAAAAGAAAAATAAATAAATTATCAATATATAAATTATTTTTTTCCTTTTTTTTAAAAAAAAAGGTCCTGTATCGGTCGTTTCGGTTCAGTTTTCAAGTATATCAATTTGACTTATTGGCTATCGGTTTGTAGAGATGTTAAACCGTTATAGAACCATTAAAATGTTGGCTTATCAGTTATTGGTTTATCGGTTATTGATCAATATCGGTTCGGTTATCAGTTTAACCGTTAAGATTTGACACAAAAATAAATTAATAAAAATCACTTAGAAAAAAAGTGACAAATCGAATGAATCATGTACATAAGTTCACAAGTTGCATCTTGCTCAAAAGGAAACACTTTTACATTGTAGAATAACCAAGATTTTGAGATAGCCAGAAATAAAAGTAGGAAACTAAACTCTAAGTTAAGAAATTTATATACAAAATGGTATAAATATAATTATTTAATTTACTATCGATTTATCGGTTAATCCATTAAGAAAAAACCTCAAACCGTTAAGAGCAAATAACCCGATAACAAAAAAAATCAAAACTGTTATCTGAACCGCTAAACCAATAACCCATTACTGATAAACCAATAACCTTATTTTCGATTCGATTCGATTTTGAACGGTCCTAGTTTCTACCTTCTTAATTTCTATTCTTGTCATAATGCAATGGGGTCGTATCGTTTTATTTGTTAATAATATCTATCTCTTTTCCATTTCCCATTCACCAAAATCTATTTAGGATTGAAAAATATTGATCATTACACGAAATATTAAAGAATAAATCACTTAAACACACACACCAAGAAGTAAAATATTTTAAAGACATATTCAAAAAGAAGCTAGATGATTTCTTCTTAAAATGTTTTGGTGGATAGAAGTAATGGGCTATTTGTGTTGATGTGCAAAACAACTAATTGTTAAAAAATGAATATTAAGCTTTAACCAATCTTAAAAATTAGTTTAAGAGGTGAGAATTGTTCAAATCGTATTGAAGAGATCAATATGAGACTCTTTACACCCCTCACATCCAAAACTGGACATCTAGTGCATAAACAATTCAATACGGGGACCCCACATTAAAAATGAAAATCATGAGGAATAATCTTGCTCTAATATTTTCCTTTTTTTTTTGTGGGGGGAAGGGTTTTCAAGGTGGAGAATCAAACTCACACCAATAAAGAGAAAATTCAGGCAATCAACTAAATGAGCTACAAAGATTCTCCAAGACTAACTCGATCTGAGAAAGTCAATAAATGTCAAATTTTTCTCAACGTACAAGCATTATTTAATGAAGAAAGTAAAAAAATAGTAAACACAACACAAAAGGTTGTCAATATATATATATATACTAGTATATACATAACAAGGAGAGAGTAAAGATACCAAAGACTAGGCAACAACATATCTTCCTCTTCCACTTTTCATTTTCTCCCTTCATCAAGAATCAATGGCTTCTACTCTTACTACTCCAACTCCAACTCCAACAAATGATGTTGATGATCATCAAAGTCATGACACCACATTCTCAACCCCATTTTTCCGGCCACCACCACCGACGACTCGCCGGAGTACTCCATCATCTCTCTCTTCATCTCCATCTCACTCTTCCAACTCTTCCTTTGGATCATCACTCTCTTTCCATGATATTCTTGATGATCATAATTCCCCTATTAGCCCTACAACTCCTCTTCAATTCCCAAAAGGTGTACCCTTTTCTTGGGAAAAAATTCCTGGAATTCCAAAACAAATATTTTCCAAGAAAAATAACACTACTACTACTCTAGGTCAACTTCTCCCATTAATGCCACCACCATGTGGAAATGGAAATAATGTTCCAAATAATTCATCCAAGAAAATTACTAGTTTTCTTGATGAGTTTTCTCCAAGAAAAAATGTTGCTAAAAGTTTTAGAAAAGATCCATTTTTTGCTGCATTTGTGGAGTGTTCCAAAGATGATCAACAACAATATGATGATGACATTTGGAAAAATTCTTCAAAGGTACCATCAATAAGAAGTTTAAGTGATAGATTTGGATTCATTAGCATGTATACTTCATGCAAAAGAACTTGTACAGTCTCTGAATCCATTGTTTATCTTCCAAGATCAAGAAATAATTATAGTAGGAAGTACTAGTGATCATGAGTCAATAAAGTCCTAGATCGACAGACAGGCAGATGCAGAGTCAAGATTTGAAGTTTATCAGTTCTAAAGTGAATCTATTGCTCGTTTTAGTTATGGGGTTCACAATTATTAATGAATTTCCCAGTACAAATACAGGGTCTAAGCAAAAGCTAGTGAGTTTATTAGAATATGCATGCCACTAATATTGTAGCTCTGGCCCTGTCTACATATAGGTTAGGTAAGTGTTACAATTTCGTCTTCATTAATGCATAGTTATTTTCATGAAATTGTAACCTATGCTTTCGGTTTTTATTTTATTTTTCATATTGTAATTTTTCATTTGTGGATTTTATGTAATGCAACGTGAGGACAAGTCAATGTGTTTGTCCAAAATTAATTAATACTAGTACAATTATGGGTATGTTTATTTATTTCTTTGGTACGTTTGTGTGCTAGTGGTGTGAGATCCAATTCAATATCTTTTATCTGTTTTAATATCATGTTGAAATGTGTTTTCAAAATGTACACTTTTATTATTTATATTTTTTATAAAAAAAATTGTACAAGGAACTGTACATATTCGTCTTATGTGTCATAACAAAATCCCTTCCTTCTGTATTTCCATGTGATGATTAAATGGCATTTGAGTAAAAGCCACAAAAGGCCCATGTGAAATTTATAAAATTTTGGAACATTTTTGCACAACAAAACAATACATAAGAGGACACATAAAACTTACTAAAGAATTTAGTTACGTATAAGCAAAGTTTGAGATTCCCAAGAAGAAGTGATTGAAAATACAAAATGTCTTGTTGTCATCAATATATATGAATGAATTCTTACATTTGTGATCAAGGCAAATTTTGCTTAAACGTTGCCATTTTATGTTGCATCTATCTTTTTGTTATACATTTATTTCTTTATGCATCATTATATCTATATTCAAAACTTACTGATCGATTAATTCAGATTTTCATCAAGTAAGGTCTACTAAAGAGAAAATGCTTCCTAAAAAAAAAATTAATTGAACAATTTTACTTTTGGGGTGTTATTGTTATCTTCTAGGTCAATTAGAATCATAAATTGGAAACTAAAAGACAACAATGCCCTTTTCTTTTCTGGGATACTTTGAGGTTGTACTAAAGAATATATAAAAAGGTGAAAGCTTAAAGTTTCACTAACTAAATTTTAATTTACTTTGTCTTTTGTACTGTACTTTTCCATGTCTTTTCCTTCATTTCCATTTGTGATGGAAAGTAAAATTTTCTATAGCATCCAATACAAGGACAAAACACTAAGCAACAAAAGCATCCAAAAACCAAGATTAGCAATGTGCAAATGAAGCTTTATGTATGATCAAAAACACAACTTGGAACTACCTATCTTAGATTCCATCATTTTTTTGTTTTCCACCAATATTCAGTATTAGAGCTTCGACTAAATTCTAATTGGCGACACGAAGTCATAGTATTGGGATAAAGCGTTCTTTAACAAAAACAATTTTACTCAAAGGCTCCAATCTGAAACCACTGATTGATTAATAAAAAAGAAAGAATACATATCATGGTTTCTATCATTATTCCATATCTTTTTAGGAGATTCAAGTTAAAATAGACAACCTTTTTCTTTAAATATTGTCACAATGGTAATGGATGCATGCGCCCCTAATTTCACTTTTTTAATATACTAGGCTATCATTAAAAAAAATTTATTTAAAAAACTTCAATAATTTCGAAGAAATAATGACTATATAAAAAAACAAGAAATGTTAGTAGCCATCATTATATATGAGCAAACAAAACGAAAATGGAACTATGGAAACATCATGGTAGCTAGGAATAAACAGCTCCACTTCACAAAAAAACAAAGTTCATGTTGTACTATTATACCTCTTTTTTCTTTTGACCACTTTTAATATCGTATATAGTAAGCAAGTTGTTAATCATATACCATTCTTTTTTAAAAAAATACTTTTGAAATCATAAAAAAATTGATAAATAAAGTTATTATGATATCTGCTCTAATTAGAGATAATAAATATATTTAAGGCACACACAAATTGATCCGAACACATTGAGACTTCCTTTAAAAAAAACATGATGAAAGCCTCGGTGGGGTATATTTTTGTCAATTACTAGTTTACTACTAACAAAGATTGTTGAAAAAGAAGCCAATTATATGATTCGTAAATAGGTCCACTTTGGACTTCCTACCCAGCAGTTCACACATCCATATCATTTAATTAAAAGCCATTTATTTAGGAAATAAATAGCATAAAAAAGAACACTAATAATTAACACATTTGTGTCAAAGGGAAAGTATATTGACTAGCCTTTTTTTTTCCGCATATGTAATTCAATGGAGCAATTTTTTTTTATTAAAAAATGTTTTACGTTGGGAATCAAACATGTATATTAAAGGATAATTAAAGAGATGGATTTATTATATTTTGTGTTATTTATTAATTATTAAACAATTTTATTTATTTTATATCCACTAATAATATAAAGAATTTCGATATATTCAGACTAGCTCCAACAGCTTTCCCATATTTTATTTACTAACTCATATTTATACATTTGCATGTCGTTGGTATTAAGATTATGTCAATATTTTGGTGTAATGCTAAAAAGCCAGAAATTTTGATTAGAATTTGGTCAAATTTTTTAAAAGTCTATAATATTCTTTGTATTTTAAAATAAATTGATTTTTTTTAATTAAAAGATATTAAAATTAAAAAGGTAAAATAATGTAGTGTGAAATATGTTATTTTATCATTCTGGCCAAAAGGATTCTTCCTAATATTTTCTCTTTATCGTAACTTGGTAAAACTTACAACACTAATCTAGGCAAGCCGTAGACTGTAATTAATTGCATGTTTTAAATCTATAAGAGTCTGAGCTAAAGCGAACAATATCACTAGTAATTAAAATTAAATTGTTATATTTAATGTTAAGAGTCATCTTGTGTGCAACTGCTATATCAATAAGGATGTTGAGTTTCAAATTAAGAGTGGAGGTGTGTGTGATGCCTGCCTTAATTCACATATCATTAATCAAAATATCAAGAAAATTTAGGTATATAAGAAAACAAGCCTTAAATTAACCCTAGTGTTTGAACATTGACCAAGCCTCCAACCTAACAAAGAAAATCCATTTATTTACTACTACCAAACAAAAGCTATATATGATGAGTATGTGCAAGTGAGCAAAAGTCCTCCATAACTAACAAATCAACTTATATTTAAAAAAATCGATTTATCATATCTTTTCCCAATAATAGAGATATACATATATAGCATTTATGGATGACTATTACAAATATATATAGTCTATAGTCTATATTTCAAGAATTTGGAGGACACATGCATATGCCTTAAAAAACAATAATGCAGGTTATATATATATATATATATTAACGCCCATCTTTTATTTTTCATCTATATTAGTTAATTCGTATGGAAGGTACGATAATGGATCGTCCGTATATAATACAGTATATATATAGTCCTTTTTTGTTATCATACCACTTGAAATTATAACTATTAAAGTAAGTAAAAAAAAAACATGAACTATATAATAAAATAATATTGTACGTTGGGCAGTAGTTGTATGAGATTCTTTGTGCTTCTGATGAGGGAGCATTTAATTTGATTTTGGTCATTGTAAATCACATGTATGATAGGTTGGACCATGGTGTGTAAGCTTACCTATCATAAAATCTCTTTGGATTTTAAATGTTTCATTTTCTTTCAAATAATAAATATCTCTTTCTACTATTTTTAATCTTGTACATTTTTTTAAAAAAATAATCTTATGTTACCTTTAATTTGATTGATTTATCAAATTAATATAAAAATTGAGAGAAAAGAAAATGACTAGTCAATTTTGTATAGGGATAAGGGTCTGAAAAATATCTCAACTTTGATCGGATTTGCTGTTGCAATACTAAACTTTCATGAGGACCTATTACCTCCCTAGACTATTTAATATCGTATTTTAAACATATATATTTGCCCACGTGGACATAAAAAATAATGCAAAATTATAAATAGTAATATGCCCACATGGGCACATATATACCTTTAAAATATACTATTAAATAGTTCAGGGGGTAAAAATTACGGTATTAAATAGTCTAGGAGGTAATAGGTCCTTATGAAATTTTAGTATCACAACAGCAAATCCGATCAAAGTTGAGGTATTTTTCAAACTCTTATCCTTTTGTATATGTATGCTGGAATGAAGGATAAATTAGTCTCAGCAATGACGCTGAATTCTTAAGGGGGTATATTTGTGTATATATGACGCTTATGAATGAGCATGAACTAATAAAAGCGAGTCAAGAAAAGTACTGACAAATTTATAAGTCAACAAAGTTTTTGTATAAAAAGGTTGTATATGATACTTTAGTTAAATTTTATAGAAAATTATTTTAACTTTCTATGAAGTTCCAAGTAGAACACACTGATCAATTGGGACTAAGATGTTATTGATTTGATTGATTGAATAATCAATAATGTTTTGTATTTCCTTTTACTAATCAATATATTTTTGTTTAATTAAGAAAAAACAAATTAAAACTTGACAACCATGCATTTAATAGTTTGGGGATCTTGCTGGAGATAAAAAATATCCAAAATTATTTGGAAATGGGAAGCCAAATGACTTAAATGGTCTTGCTTAGAATGATCTCCAATACCTTACAAATGCATAAAATAGTCATTAGTTCATGTCATGTGGTACCTGTATTAGTCATTAATTATTAAAATCCAACACATTTAACTTATAATTCTTATCATTTTGCAAGTGGATATATATTCAATAAAACTGAAAATACATGACTCCCTAAAGTCTTTAGTATCTTAATACTTCCAATTTACATTGCATCTCTCTATCTTTTTACTTGAGTGAACTCAAAATTTTAAGCTTAGATACATTTAATATGATTTGATATTGTTCGTCTTGAATTAACATAAGAAGTATTTTTATGCATCTTATAATATGTATCTTCCTTTTTAAACTATCAATGTAGGACTTTGTTAGCACAATAAAAAATATCTCTTCAAATTAAGTTTTACATGACTGATCATCACATTATGAGTTTATTTGAAAATTAATTGTGTGCACCCAAATCATCCAAATATTTATGATCACTAAAGTCTATTGACTTTTTTTTTGTATGTGTACAAGTCTCAAGTTACGGATAAAGATGGTAAATAAACTGTAGACCAATAAAGAGACAATATATCGAACTCCATGTCATCGTTCTCTGCATTTCCATACAGTACGTCTCGAAATCATTCTCTATTAGTAATTGTTGGACTAAAACAACTTTAAAATACTCTTAAGATTACGTGATATTATTCGCTTTGAACGGTGTCCGCATTATATTCCTCAAAATTAATTTATAAATGTTTCACACCAT